GAGCCTGCTTCGAGTTCTGTAATCTCCCTCTCCCTCTGCCCCTCCACCATTCACACTCTGTCTCTGTCTCTCAAAAATAAACATTAAAAATAAAATATAAAAAAATAAAAAGGTTTTTTTTAAATTTTATTAAAAAATTTTTAAAATGTTGAATTTATTTCTGAGAGAGAGAGATTGAGAGACAGCATGAGCAGGAGAGGGTCAGAGAGAGAGGGAGATAACAGAATCTGAAACAGGCTCCAGGCTCTGGGCTAGCTGTCAGCACAGAGCCCGATGTAGGGCTCGAACCCATGAACTGTGTGTGATATCATGACCTGAGCCGAAGTCGGACGCTCAACCGACTGAGCCACCCAGGCGCCCCTAAAATTTTTTTTATTTTTATTTTTTTTATTTTTTATTTATTTATTTATTTATTTATTTAAATGTTTTATTTATTTCTAGGAGAGAGAGACAGAGAGAGAGAGAGACAGCGTGAGCAGGGGAGGGTCAGAGAGACAGGGAGTCACAGACTGAAACAGGCTCCAGGCTCTGAGCTGGCAGTTAGCACAGAGCCCGACGCGGGGCTTGAACCCACGAACCGCAAGATCATGACCCAAGCGAAAGTCGGATGCTTAACCGACTAAGCCACCCAGGCGCCCCTCTAAAATTTTTTTTAAATGTTACTTTGGGTAGTATTAATAAAAATATTTGCTCTAATTTTGGGAGATAATAGTTTCACTGGACTCTTAGAAAAGTAATCCATGTTCATTTTAGGAAAAAGATGAGCAAAAGAAAAAATCTCTATAATCCCACCATTGAGATAATATATACACACACACGATACATATATTTTTATAGAACTAGTTGTCTTCCTTTTTGCTTAAATTGTTTTGGTGGCAGCCAGTATCTATCTAAATCCTTGGATCCTTAGATTCTGCTGAGTGCTTTTTGTTTTGTTTTTAAGCTTTTATTTTAATTCCAGTTAGTTACACAGTGTTATATTAGTTTTAGGTGTACAATACAGTGTGATTCAACAGTTCCATACATACCTGGTGTTCATCAGGACAAGTGCACTCCTTACTCCCCATCACCTTTTTAATCTACCCCCCCCCACCTCCCCTCCAGTAACCATGAGTTTGTTCTCTATAATTTAAAGAATCTGTTTCTTGGCTTTTTTTCCCTTTGCTCATTTGTTTCCTAAATTCCACACATGAGTAAACTCATATGGTATTTTACTATCACCATTATCTATGTCTATTATCTATTTATTTCTCATACCGTTATCTAGGTCTATTACCACCATTATCTATGTCTGTTATGAATTTGTTTTGTTTCCTAAATTCCACACATGAGTAAAATCATATGGTATTTGTCTTTATCTGATTTATTTCACTTACCATTATCTATGTCATTATCAGGTCTATCTATGTCATTGCAGTTGGCAAGATTTCATTTTTTTTATGTTTTAATAATATCCCATTGGGGGTGTGTGTGTGTGTGTGTGTGTGTATTACATCTTTAATTAATTGATAGACACTGAGTTTGCTTCTATATCTCGCCTATTGTAAATAGGAATATTATCCCTTTAAATTAATGTTTTTGTATTTTTTCAGTACCAGTAGTACGATTACTAGATCTTAGGGTAGTTCTATTTTTAACTTTTTGAGGAAATGCCATCCTGTTTTCCCTAGGGGCTGCACTATTTGGCATGCCTACCAATATTACAAGAGTATTCCTTTTTTCCACATCCTTGCCAACACCTGTTGTTTCTTGTGTTGTTGATTTTAGCCATTCTGAAAAGTATGAGGTGATATCTAATTGTATCTGCCTAGTGTTAAAAGAGCCTTGCTTACTGGTGATTCCCAGCTGCCGGAAATTATAATCATACACCTCGAGGGCCAGAAGGGCCATTTCATCAGTATTACCTGGGCCAGAACTATAAATTGCGTCAGACCAACTGAATCAGAATCTCTGGGGGTGGGGACTAGCAATCCTATTTTTAAAAATTCTTTTTAATGTTTATGTATTTTTGAGCAAGAGAGAGTACGTGCAAGCAAGCACGAGCAGGGGACGGGCAAAGAGAAAAGGCGACAGAGGATCTGAAGTGGGCAATGCGCTGACAGCCCAATGAGGAGCTCAAAATCACAAACCATGAGATCATGACCCGAGCTGAAGTTGGATGTTTAACCAACTGAGCCACCCAGATGCCCCAACAATCCTGTATTTTAATAAGCCCCGAAGGTGATTCCAATCCACACTGAAGTTTCAGAATAACACACCTGAGTTAAAACCTTTCCTTTTTTTTTCAGATAAAGATCCAAAGAGGCTGCCAATTTAAGAAATTATCAGAATATTCAGGCAGTGATTTCTAGGATAACCACCATCCCTCAGGGAGGTCTGTTTTGACTAATTGCTAAGAAGCTTTTGAAAGAATACTAGGTGGAAATAAGTGTAATGGGTAGAGTCTGTTTACCACTCAACTCACCTGGTGGGCTTTTGATCAACAGTTGCCTTTTGATTCACTCAAGTTTAGTCTAAAAGAAAAGTTTTATCCAGTTTGTTTTATTCACTTGATTATTCATATGTATTTTATTCCCTGAAGCAAGTTGATGTGTCATTTAAGTAACTACCCCATGCCATCAGTACTGCTCTCTAGTGAACCCTTGAGAGTGTGACACTACAGCTTTCATTTTTAACAAACTTACACTTAAGTTTGAAAACCACTAATGCAAAATTAGTGGCACCTGGGTGGCTCAGTCAGTTAAGCATTGGAGTCTCCACTTCAGCTCAGGTCACCATCTCACGGTTTATGGGTTCAAGTCCCATGGGCTGTGCTGATAGTCCAGAGTCTGCTTGGGATTCTCTCTTGCCCCTCTCCTGCTCATGCTTTGTCTCTCTCAAAATAAATAAATAAATAAACATAAAAAAATTTTAAAGATGTTTGAAATGGTTAAGAATAAAATAGACTGGACATTTTCAGTATTCTTTAATTTGGGTTCCACATTGAAAATTCAAAATAATTTGATGTGTATATCATACAGCCAATATAATAACACCAGAGATTGCTCCAGAAATTTGGAATGGCATAACATTCAAATGATTTTTTGAGGAAATATAATATAGTTTGCCCATCGTCTGGGGAAAAAAAGGCGGTGGGGGAATCACTAGAAGACATCACAAAAAGAACGAAGGAGACCTGAAATAATGGAGCCTGCTCTAAACTATAAAGGTAGTCAACCTCGACTGACCATAGTATAAATTAAGGTCATAGAGAGCTCAGCAGTTGTCTAAAATTTTAGGGTTTTTTTTAAAATTTTAGGTTTTTTAAAGATTATATTGGGTGGAGTAGTCACAATTTAGGAAAACAAATACAGTATCTGAGGGGAAAGAACAGAATAACCCTGCAAGATCAAAATGATCTACCTTGAATTTCTGTTATTATTTTATCCATGTAACAGCTATGTTAATAAGAAAATTAGCATCAGCAAAACCGTTTTCAGAACTTTGAATACTGGATCTACGAAGGAAAGGCGTGGAAGTTGAACCAGAGAAATGACAGAAAAGGACGTCAGTGAGGAAGCGAATCGTAGAGAGGCAAAGCACAAAAAGCTGAGGTCCCGGCGACAGGGAACTGAGAGCCAAACGGAGACTAACCTGGCCGGGTGGGGGGTTGGGGCAATAGCTTTAGTGGGCAAATAAGCGCAAAAAAGCCCGGGTGCAGAAAATTTGGGATCATGAAACTGAAATTTATTTATCTGTACCAAAGAGGATGGATGAGCTCTAAGAAGAGAAAAATGGAAAGCAAGGCGCACTTAAAGCTGCACGGAACTTTTGTGCGCTATCGTTCAGTCCAATGACCACGGAGTTCGGCCTCAGGTTGAGAATAACGCGGAGGCGAGTCGAAGAGGGCGCGAACGGGGACACAGCAGAGCCGCGTAGCGCGCTCACTCGGACCAACAAAGGCCGCCGGGGACACTTCGCGAACCACGCAACTTGCGGGGGCCGAAGGGTTAACTGCGCGCCCGACTCCCGCGCGCTTCCCGGCCCCCACTCTCGCGGTCGCTAGGAAACGCCGAAAGTGGGGGAGGGGCGGGCGGCGCGGCGGAGGGTGGGAATCTTTTTTCGGGCGCTTGGGGGCGGAGGGAGGGGAGCGCGCGCGTGCGCGCGCCCGGCCGGCCGTCGCCGCGGTGACCGTCCTCGGAGTCCGTCGGCTCGCGCCCCGCCCCCGTTCTGCTGCCCCCTCCCCTGTCGCGCGCGGGGGGTGTTTCTCGCTCCTCCCGAGTTGCCGCCGCCGCGGTCGCCGCTGCTCCTCCTCTCCCAGTCTTGGGTTTCCCAGGCACTGCTGCCGCCGCTACCTCTGCGGTCTGTATGAGGAGGAGGAGGATGTGAAGATGGCGGAGCTGCAGATGCTGCTGGAGGAGGAAATCCCGGGGGGCCGCCGGGCCCTCTTCGACAGTTACACCAATCTGGAACGGGTGGCAGATTACTGCGAGAACAACTACATCCAGGTGTGAAGCATGTCCCGGCCTGGGCGCGTCGGGCCTCTGGCTGGTGGACAGCGCGTGGGGGATCCCCGGGCCGGGGTCCGCGCGCCTGGGGTCGCAGGGCGCGCGGGGCCGGGGCCGCGGCGGAGACCCAGCCCTGCTAAGCCCGCGAGGACGGGGGGAGGGGGAGAGTAGGGTGGGAGCTGGGTCTGGTGAATTGGTGAGAAACCTCCGGCTGAAGGAAATTGTAGCTTTAAAACATTTTAAAAAGCCATGAATCAGTCCTCGGTGTGGTGTGTGTGCCGTGTCCCCTCTTCGGTTCTTCTGCCCTCGGCCGCCCCCGCACTCGGTGCCCGTCAGTGTTCGGGATGGCGGAGGAGGCGGAGAGTGGTTTTTTCTATTTGACAGAATTCTGCTCCCCCATATGGCAAGGGTGTGGGGGGGGGATTGATGGATCACCCCCTCCCCCAAGCTCTGGAGAATTTTTAAGGGGTTATGTTGCTGCAAAGTAAAGTGCCTCAGTTTTACATTCGTGTAAATGCCTCAAAAGACTGGTATTTTTGTTTATTTTTTAGTTTCTAACCGGGGTTACAGGAGAAGAGCAGTTGTCTCTTGTTGGAAGTTATTGCCATTTTCCTCCTTATGGAGAATGGGAAGCAGCATGATAATGAGCACCACCCCCCTCGAAAATCCCGTTAGAATAGTTAATTTTCCTGTGGGAAAAAGAATTGGAAGTATTTTTCAGCAAGGATTAGGAAATGATCCTCATGGTTTAATTTTTCCCGAGATGGTTGGTTTGGCACAGACTCATGGTGGTAACGCTGTGTGTATGTGTATGGAGGTGGGGTGTATTGGGTGAGATGAGATCCAGCTGCGCCTGAATACAGCAGAAGAATCTGTGGATTAAAAAAAAATCCTTCTTTAAACATTATTTGAAAGACTAGGTTAAAACAAACAGTTTGCAAATTCATCGTCTTTTGTTTCTCTGTGGCTTATTCTGGAGTCACAGATTCTACCTCCATTTTTTCCCTTACCATTTAAATTCTCTTGAGATAAAGGTGGAAATGGAGGAAGTGTGTTAAATTATTCTTTCGCTATGGTCTTTTCTTCCCCCTGTTCCCACCTCCATCTCTCCGGGTATCCTTCTTAATATCAGTTATATTGGGAAGCATTCTCTAGTCTTAGAGTAAACTAAAAAAAAAAAAAGGTGTGAGAATTTATAGGTTTATAAATTTTGTAAGGATCACGTGGTTAATCAATGATGTTATTGTGAGACTTTACTAAATTAGGTATATACTTAACTGTATTATCTTGTGGCAACGATTTGTATTGAAGAAGGAACCAAATATAATACAAGGCTTTTCCCTCCAAAGAGGCCATTGAAACTAGTAGGAGCAGAAAAAATGTGTCTTGGTCACATTTTGTGTCAAAGTGTGTCAAATTTGTGACAATCTTGTGTCAAAAATTCATCCAAAAAACACAGTGGTCCATATTTGGAGGGTGCTTTTTAAATAATGAGTGGGATAGAAAAGAGTCCAACATTAAGTTGTTCAGTGTTCAACTGCATGTATTCAGAAGTCTTGTATAGCCTGCCACTTTGTAAAAGGGTTGATGAAACACACCTGGTGTCTACAGAATTTCATAGTGTAGTTAGTAGGAGAGGCTGATCTGTGAGCAAATGAATAATGTAGTGTGTCAGTTTATACTCTGTAAGGAACTGAAGGTGCAAAGAAGGACTGGAGGAAGCTATACTATTCTCAGGGAATTCACAATCTCTAGGAGAGGCAAATCTAAAGGACTGAAGTGCTAATTCTATTTTTTTTTAATTTTTTTTTAATGTTTTATTTATTTCTAGGAGAGAGAGACAAGCATGAGCAGCGGAGGCTCAGAGAGAGGGAGTCACAGACTGAAACAGGCTCCAGGCTCTGAGCTGGCAGTCAGCACAGAGCCCGACGCGGGGCTCGAACCCATGAACCGCGTGATTATGACCTAAGCGAAAGTCGGACGCTTAACCGACTAAGCCACCCAGGCGCCCCAGAAGTGCTAATTCTATTGACTGCAGCATATTATGGGAGTTATAGGTCAGAAGAGAAATTAAAAATGGAAGATGAAAATGGAAGAGTGGGTAGCAGTTATTACCAGTGGTAAAAAATAAGAAACAGATTTGTCTCTCTTTGGAACATAATTTTTATTATAATTTGAAGGTATAGTTTTTCTTAGATTACAATTGATACGTAAAGGTAAAGTACGTGGATTAATAAAACTGAGAGGTTGGGGCGCCTGGGTGGTTCAGTTGGTTGGGCGTCCGACTTCAACTCAGGTCATGATCTCACAGCTTATGGGTTCGAGCCCCGCATTGGGCTCCGTGCTGACAGCTCAGAGCCTGGAGCCTGCTTCACATTCTGTGTCTCCCTCTTCTCCGACCCTCCTCTGCTCATGTGCGCGCTCTCTCTCTCTCTCTCTCTCTCTCTCTCTCTCAGAAATAAAACATTTAATAAAAACCGAGAGGATAAAGGGATTAAGGATTGTCATCTTTTTAAATATACCATGTTTTTAGTTGAGAGAAGAACATTGCTGTCACCATTATCTGTTTTAGCAATAAGACTAATAATTTGGTGTGGTGTTTTTTTAAAATGCATAGTATAGCTATTGATGGATTTAAAAATACTTTTTCAGTTTAGCATCTAAAATAGATTTTACACATTATTAGATTTTACCTCTTAGGTTATCATCTGTTTCATGTGGGTATAACATTGCTGTTTTTCTCTTGCCAGATGACAGCTCTTGCATGATTGCTTGTAGTAAAGTTGATAAATAGAATATGCTGATAGTGGATTTGCTGACCTCGCTGTACATTTGACCCTACTGGCTCACCTTGTGACCAAAGAACTGACCAGCAGGGGTTTTGATGCTGCCTCTGACCCTGTAGAAAATGAAAATTAATTGGTTGTATATGTTTACATAGTCAGTTTAGCCTTGTTTTAGCATCATGCCCTAATGACTCTCTCACGTTAACTAACCCAATATTCACTTTATTTTGGAGAAATGTAATTTTTGCCCGTAAGTAGAAAAAGATATGCTGATCATGTCTAACAAAGGGTAAGGGTCTTTGTTCAGTGTTCTTTAGTAGCTGGTTTTAAGCATAGGAATATCCACATAACTAAGAATTAAGAATACTCTGTGGATTATATTTAGTGTGGAAATTGAGCAAAGGAAGAAAAATGATTTTGCTGTTCTTGTGGAAACAACTGTATGGTGTTTAAATTGTTTCTAATAAAAATATCTTTCAGATATATTATCAGCATTAGGAGTGACCAGATACACCTGTATTAACACAGTCTGTAGGTAGAACAGTGTTGTAGGTAGTGGTTTTCCAGGATACTAATGCAGTTAATGTTAGAAAGTTAAAAGTCATCTTCAGTAAAAATTTAGATAGTTTTGTTTTATATTTCACACTCTAGAAAAAGTGATAGTAAAAATATTTTTCTAAAATGTGATGATAAGGGGCACCTGGGTGGCTCATTCCCCCCACGCATCTGACTCTTGATTTCGTCTCAGGTCATGATCTCACAGTTTTGAGATTTCGACCCTTTGTCAGGCTCTTTGCTGATAGCGAAGGAGCCTGATTGTGATTCTCTCTCTCTCCTCCTCTGTCTCTTTCTACTGCTCCCTCACTCACACTCCCTCAGTCTCAAAATGAACTTAAAAACAATTTTTTTAATGTGATGAAAAAAATTACGACTAAAATTTGCTGCGATTTCCTGACTGATTTTATTTCTTGTCTGTAAAAAAAGACTTAGTATTTAAGAACTTTTTTAAAGACACATGTAGGACCTATGTTCTTTTTTTATTTATTAATAGAAACATCAGTACCTAATTTAAAAAGTTTCCAGAAATTTTAAACAGTATTTTGATCGACTTGGAATCTACATTTTTACAAATAGAAGAATATTATTTTATTATTATTTTTTAATGTGTATTTATTTTTGAAAGAGAGAAAGCAGGAGTGGAAGAGGGACAGAGAAAGAGGGAGACACAGAATTTGAAGCAGGCTCCAGGCTCTGAGCTGTCGGCCTATGACTCAAGTTGGGGCTTCAACTCCCCAACTGTGAGATCATGAGCTGAAGCTGGACGTTTAACTGACTGAGCCACCCAAGCGCTCCTGAAGAGTTTTGTAAAAATATGAGTTGCTTTAATGTTTTGGTAGATGAAATAAATTTATAGTTGTTACTTTCCTAGGGTAAATCTGAAAAACCAACTAATTATTTACAATTTTCCTTTTGTTAGATAAAATACTTATTGCTTTTTAAGATACATAGTAAAATCCCATTGTCTATTATTTGGAGTAAGAGCAAAATCATCCAGTAACATGGTTTTGCTCAGAATAACAGAAATTAAAAGTATACCTTAAGGGGTGCCTGCTGATTGGCTCAGTCCATGAAGCATGCAACTCTTGATCTCAGGGTCATGAATTTAGGCCCCATGTTGGGTATAGAGCTTACTTGAAAAAATAATAAAAAGTACTTTATAAAAAAATTTTTTTAAATGTAACTTAAATTTTATCTGAAGTACATATTTTTTTTGCTTTTCAGTAATAGAGATGTCATTAGTAGCTTCTGGTTTTTGTCCTTTTTTTTTAAACACTTTTTTTTTTTAAGTTTCTTTATTTTGAGAGAGTGAGAGAATGTGTGTTCTGGGAGGAGTGGAGAGGAAAGGAGAGAGAATCCCAAGCAGGCTCCATGCTGTCAGCGCAGAGCCCAACTTGTGGCACCATCCCATGAACCATCCCATGAACTGTAAGATCATGACCTGAGCTGAAATCGGGAGTCTGATGCTTAGCCAACTGAGCCACGCAGCTGCCTCGTTGTTTGTCTTTATAAAAAAGAATACTCCCAGAATTCATAAAAAATTGCATGAAAAGTTTATAAGGAGTTAGAATAAAACCTTGGTTTGCCAGCATAATTTGTTCTGGAAACATGCTTGTAATCCAAAGCACTTGTATATAAAAGTGAAATTCCCTATAAGAAATAATTGAAACTCAGATGGTTTGTTCTGCAACCCAAATATATTCATGTAAAAATGATTACAGTACTGTAATATAATACAAAATAACAAAATAAAATATAAAGAAAACAAATTAACCTATACTTACCTTTGAAAACCTTCCTGGCTGGCATGAGGGAAACGAGAGAGGAGGGAAGAGAGGAGGGTTGCCGTGTAACAGAATCACTAACGGAACCTATTGGCTCAATGGAGTCTCTTTCTCTTCATGCAACTTTTACATGGAACTTATCCAATGACACTTGCTTTTGCCTCCTTTTGAAGATTTCGAGGAAATGTGACATTGCATTGATGATCACCCACAATCCCACAGCGAGAGAGAAAGAGAAGAAGCATTGGCTCAGTTGAGATCATGTGACATTCGGCATCACATACTACTCAGATTGCAAGACATCACTCATTTATCAAGTTAAAATTTATTAGAAATATTTGCTCATCTTGTGGAACACAGAATAAGTTACTTGCAATCCAAGGTTTTATTGTAACTAAAACAATATAAAGATTTACTAAATGTACTAAATTGTAATTACTAAAACAATATAAAAATTTAAAATTCTTATTTAATAAAAACTTAGAGTACATGTTCACTGTTGATAAATTATTAGAAAAATTATTAAGGAAGAAACTTAAAATTGCCTAGTCATTTTGAATATACATCTGGGATTTATATATATACTGGATTTATACTATTAAGTCTTTTTGATATATACAACTATATATCAAAAATGGGTTCCTATTATATATATCTCTCTACCTTGCTTTTAAAAGAAACTTACTATTTTTTTAAAGATTTTATTTTTAAGTAATCTCTACACTCAACATGGGGTTCAAAATCACAACACCAAGATCAAGAGTCTTCTGTTCTACACACTGACCCAGCCAGGTGTCCCTAAAAGGCAACTTTTAATTGTGTTAAATTTGAGTTTGTATTTTACAGACGTCACAGAGTATTCAGAAAAGAGATTTATCTTTGTGTGCTTGAGTTCTGTTTGTTCTCACAAATAGACAAATAGAGGAATCTTTTTTTTTTTTTTTTTTTTTTTAAATTTCTGAGAGAGAGAGAGAGAGACAGCTTGAGCAGGGGAGGGTCAGAGAAAGAGGGAGACACAGAATCTGAAGTAGGCTCTGAGCTGGCAGTCAGCATGGAGCCCGTTGTGGGGCTCAAACCCACAAGAACTGTGAGATCATGACCTGAGCCAAAGTCGGACACTTAACCGACTGAGCCACCCAGGCACCCCACAGATGGAGGAATCTTAAAGGCACCTTGTGTGAAGAAGGAGAAAGTCATTTGACAGTAGATATTTGAGGACCAGTATTTACATCTTTCCCTGTGATGTTTGCCTTTTACCTCCACAGACAAGAGCTGACCACGTAAGTGGACATCAGACTGGGAGACTGTATTTCCCTTGATTGAGGTGACTTAATGTATCAGGATTTGACAAGATATATCATCCTCAGAGAGCTCATCTTGACTTCCTAGTAGAGATATTTGGTAATTGGATTTTTAGTGACAACCCAGTCATTATCAAGACTTTTAAGGGGCACCAAAAAAAAAAAAAAAGACTTTTAAGGGGCACCTAGGTGGCTCAGTTGGTTAAATATCTGATCTCATAGTTTGTGAGTTGAATCCCTGTGTTGGGCTCTGTGCTAACAGCGTGCTTTGGATTCTGGATCTCCCTCTTTCTCTGCCCCTGCTTGGGCTCACTTGCGTGCGTGCTCTCTCTCGCTCGCTCTCTCTCTCAAAAATAAATATTAAAAAAAACCCAAAAAATCTTTAGGGTCACCTGGGTGGCTCAGTTGGTTAAGTGTCTGAATTCAGCACAGGTCATGATCCTGTGCTTTGAGGGTTCGAGCTCCACGTCGGGCTTTGTGTTGATGGCCTGGGCCATGGAGCCTGCTATAGATTCTTTGTCTCCCTTTCTCTCTGCCCCTCCCCTGCTTAAAGTCTGTCTCCCCAAAATAAATATTATAAAAAAGACCTGTGGTAAAATTATAAGCACAGACTAAATTATATTCTGAGACCCTTACTCTTTATAATGAAAACATTTATTTATTTATTTTAAAGGTTTTATTTCTGAGAGAGAGAGAGAGAGCAGGGGAGGGTCAGGGAGAAGGAGATACAGAATCTGAAACAGGCTCCAGGCTCTGAGCTGTCAGCACAGAGCCCAACGCAGGGCTCGAACCCATGAACTGTGAGATCATGACCTGAGCCGAAGTCAGACGCTTAACTGACTGAGCCACCCACACACCCCAATGAAAACATTTTAAATTTAATCTTTAATTTTTAAAATAATTTTGTCATCTGTGCACTTTCTAACCCTTCCTCTTCAAGGTACTTAATTGTCCTCTTAATTCCCTTTATTGGTCCCAGGACTGAGACTGCATTTCCTTTTGACATACCTTGAAGAGCTTTTTGGTATGAAATTACCCTTTACTCAGGCAGTTCATAAACTTTCCTTTGCTTTGTCTTCTTCCTGTGGCATGATTAATGTTTGAGTATGTGGTAGGCTTGCTTTATTCAGGGTCATCTTTCCTCTCCCAGAGAATAGTTTATAACCAAATTGGTCAAAAATCAGTTGACTGTATGTATGTGGGTCTGCTTTGGATTCTGTTCTGTTCCTTTGATCTTTGTATTTATCCTTTATATAGGCTGCTATAGCTTTATACTAAGTCTTGAAGTTAAGTATGAATCTTTTACTTTGTTCTTTGTCAGAATTGTTTTGGCTATTCTAGGTCCCTTTCTTTTTTATTTTTAATTTATGTTTTAGAATCAGCTTGTTAATTTCTGCAATGCTGCTGGAATTTTAAATGGAATTGCACTGAATCTGTAGATCATTTTGGGACAAACCAAAACTTTGACAGTACTGGGTCTCCCATTCTATAGACTTGGTATTTCTATTTATTTAGGTCATTTTTGATTTCTCCTATCATTTTAGTCCTTATAATACATATTTTGCATATACATTGTTACATTTGTTCCTAAATTTTTCATGATTTTTTGTGATATAGTAAATAGTACTGTTATTAAAATTTTCAGTTTCCAGTTGTCCATTAGCAGTGTACAGAAGCACTGTAAATGTGACTCTTGATCTCAGGGTTGTGAATGTATATACAATTTACCTTTGTATACTGATCTTTTCTCCTATGACCTTGCTAAACTTCTGTATTAAACATAGTAATTTTTGTTGAAGATTCTTTCTTTTCCTAATGTAGATAATCATGTCATCAAATAAAAGCAGTTTTATTTATTCCTTTCTAATCTTTCTTTTATTTCCATTTTTGCCTCTTGTGTCACCAGCTAGGACCTCCAGCATGATGTTGAATAGGAATGGTGAGAGTCTGTGTCCTTCACTTGTTCTCAATCTTAGAAAACAGCAAATCTTTCACTGTTAGGGATGAAGTTAGCTATAGGATTTTTTGTGGATTCCCTTTGTCAAATGGGGGAAGTTCTCTTTTATTCTTAGTTTGCTGAGAAGATTAAAGCAATTTTTTTAATGTTTGTTTATTTTTGGTAGAGAAAGAGACAGAGCATGAGCAGGGGAGGGGCAGAGAAAGAGGGAGACACAGAATCGGAATCAGGTTCCAGCATCTGAGCTGTCAACACAGAGCCCATCGTGGAGCTCAAACTCATGAACTGTAAGATCATGACCAGAGCTGAAGTTGGATGCTTAACCAATTGAGCCACCCAGGCACCCTGAGAAAATTTGTTTTAAAACCTGAACGGGTATTATATTTTTGTTGTATGTGTTTTTCCACATCTAATAAGATGTTCATTTTACTTTGCCTGTTGATAAGGTTAATTGTTTGATTGCAAGGTGTATATTTTTTTAAATTATACTTATAGGAAGTTTGATTTAGTGAAGTAATATGCATTTTGAATTATAGAATAGTTTTTTTTATAAGAAATGGATTTATATTAATGTCTATACATTTTGCACATATATTGTTACATTTATCCCTAATTTTTTCATGATTTTTTTGTGCTATAGTATATGGTACTGTCTTAAAAATTTTCAGTTTCCAGTTGTTCATTGCTACAGGAAGCAAGATTGGCAAAACTGGTATACATTGGGAGTGCCTGGGTGGCTCAGTCGGTTAAGTGTGTGACTCTTGATTTCTGCCCAGGTCGTGATCTCACAGTTCATGAGATTAAGCCCTGCATCCAGCTCTGTGTTGACAGTGCAGAGTCTGCTTGGAATTCTGTCTCCCTCTCTATCTGCTCCTTTCCTACTTGCTCTCTATCTCTCTCTCAAAACTGAATAAATAAATATGAAAAAAAAACCTAGTATACATCGTATATCAACTTCAGTTTATGTAATCTGCTATGTGCTGTATTTGTGTGTGCAAAAGAACTGTTTATAAAAGCTTACAGCATTATTATTTAGAAACCTTCAATTTCTCTTCATATTGAGATCACTAAAAGCATTATGAAAAAACAATATGATATAGGTTAGTTACATAGTAATTTTGTGAATTAAGTACTATATATGTATTAAAGATAATTTTAATTGTAGTGGCTCTGTGACTGGGAAGTTATTTAACCACTTTGTCTCAGTCTTCTTGTCTGTAAGATGGTACAATTATACCAGCTACTTCATAGGGTAGTTTTTTGAAGATTAAGTAAGTTAACATAGCTAAAACAATAGATGTTTAATCAAATCTAGGACTGTCAATTTTTAAGATACACTGTTGTTTTATGTGCCACTAAATTATTGAATGCTGCCTCTTAAATGCTTAAAATATTGTCACTTAACTGACACAATGCATTTCAATTTCAGTTATGCTAAAATATGAAAAAATGTTCATCTTACAAACAATGAAATATGCTGTGTGTTAGCTTTTCTATAATCATTAATGTTACTGAAGACTTACATATTTTAATTTGCATCTTTTAGTCTGCTCTTTTGTGGTATGTCTGTAACTGGTCACTTTTTTTAAATTTTATTTTTTTTAATTAATTAATTTATTTATTTTATTTATATCTAGGAGAGAGAGACAGCGTGAGCAGGGGAGGGTCAGAGAGAGAGGGAGTTACAGACTGAAACAGGCTCCAGGCTCTGAGCTGGCAGTCAGCACAGAGCCCAAGGCGGGGCTCGAACCCATGAACCGCGAGATCATGACCTAAGCGAAAGTCGGACGCCTAACCGACT